CTTTGCTCCTAGTAGCGTCCTTGCTCCTAGTAGTAAGGCCAGGAGCCCCTAGTAGCTTCCTTGCTCCTAGTAGCGATGCCCTTTGCTCTTAGTAGCGTCCTTGCTCCTAGTAGTAAGGCCAGGAGCCTCTAGTAGCTTCCTTGCTCCTAGTAGCGATGCCCTTTGCTCCTAGTAGCGTCCTTGCTCCTAGTAGTAAGGCCAGGAGTCCCTAGTAGCTTCCTTGCTCCTAGTGGCGATGCCCTTTGCTCCTAGTAGCGTCCTTGCTCCTAGTAGTAAGGCCAGGCTTCTAGTAGCGATGCCCTTTGCTCCTAGTAGCGTCCTTGTTCCTAGTAGTAAGGCCAGGAGCCCCTAGTAGCTTCCTTGCTCCTAGTAGCGATGCCCTTTGCTCCTAGTAGCGTCCTTGCTCCTAGCAGTAAGGCCAGGAGCCCGTAGTAGCTACTGGCTACAGTCAAGTCTGGCTACTTAAAGATCCGTAGATCATCATAGATCCAACCATTCCATCCGTAGCTTCCAAGCGCTCCATCGCCACGGAGCGTGATGCTGTCAGCCACCGAGGTTTGCCATCATGGTGGCCATGGGCCCGGAAAAGATGAAGGAGCGGCTTGAACACAGCCCAAGCACCACCGGTCTTGCGACACGCGAGTTCGAAAACGGGAGCGGTTTGAACACCAGAGGGTTCAATCCGGATTTTCGTTTCAAAGGTATGGAGACCCAGCAAAGACTGCAAATTATCACTTAGTTGAAGACTGCAAAGATCCTTACGATGTTGTCACACAATTTCACCTAGGCTGATGCATCCACCTGTTCTGCTCCCCTTTCAACCAACTCGTGAAACATCCAGGCCCCATCCAGAAAAAGCAGTCTTAACCTTTATACAAGCCTTGAAGAACAAGCCCACACAGTCCTCCAACAGCTTTGTGTTGGTATTTTTTCTTTCTGGAGCGTGCAAAAGGGGTCATACAATGGGGGTTGGTAAATGGCCAGTGCACCACTCTCTATAACACTATACTTGCTGTGTGTAACCCGCTAGTGACGTACAGTGTTAGTGTTTTTGGCTTATGCGTAACTGCAGGGAAGCGTAGTGTGTTCAGATGACTATGCCCAATGCAGGTCGTGCGAACACGGGATACTGGGATTGGGCATCCTGGCATACTTGCATGTGCATGCTGTGATAGTAAGCTGCTAAGCGGCCCTTCCGTACACGACATCACATCTCATGCCATGTTCGATCGTATCGACGAGGTCGTGTCCTTTCGAAGTTTGGCTGTCAAGGCCGCCTGAGGCCTTAGGAGGTTCTGAGCTACTTCACCACCATAAGGCTTCTCAACATTCTTACCGTATTCAGTGTGTCTGCTTTGCTGCTTGTAGAGGGTTGTGCCAGAGAGGAACCCACCAGTGGCAAAATTCCTATGCCAGTGGAGACCTCATGACCTCGTGTTGAGGAGGGGTCAGAAAACAAAAACAAATTGATTTTGGGACCTGGTCTACCACGGCCAGCATGCAAAAACCAGGGGAAGACTAGTGTTTTTGAACAGAAACCTACCTCAGGATTTTAAGGGCAACAGGAACAAGGATTTAGATTATTTTCAGGATGACCCTTTGCAGCTCTGGTCCTTGTGTGTGCCCGTGACAGGCGCATTTCATCATGAGAAGGTCGCAGCTGGTTGGTTTCAAGGCTGATGTCCTTTCCGGTTTGAACGGTCCTAATGACTGATGATCAGTCCTTGTCAAGTTCACTGACACCAGCAAGCGGGTAGGGTTCATTTGGCTAGCGCTAGCAATATCGACATATAATCATTTCATGTTGACACATACAGCCGAACTGTGGTCGTTTTCCTATCCTCGCTTCATCGGGTGTAATGGGTTTCTGTCTTGGAGCCATGCTGGGGGGCAAGTCCAACAGCTTCGGCGGCTGAGATAGAAGACAAGTATATAGATGATGGAACAGTGCACAGACATGGCAATCCGATATTCCTAAAGGTGCATTGTTCATTCAGATTTTCTATAGGAACCCCATTTTCTGTGGGAATTGTTTTCCAACGTGTTTTGTCTTTTTTTCCAGGTTCTGTTATCTTCGAGGAAGGAGGGAAGGAAGGAAGGAAGGCAGGCAGGCAGGAAGGAAGGAAGGAAGGAAGCAAGGAAGCCAGGAAGCAAGCGAGGAAGGGAGGAAGGGAAGAAGGGAAGAAGGGAAGAAGGGAGGAAGGAGCAATGTCTCAGTGCCGGGATGGTCACTATACTTTGTTTTTTTTGCGGGGGGGCGCTGCGCCCTCCCCCGCACCCCCTCCCACTTTTTTAAAGTTGAAGCAGGTCACTCAAAACAAAACCAGCAAACCAGTTTGGAAGCGACTGGCCTGCAAAGCATTTGACCCTCAAACCCTTTACACAAACAACTCTTGGTGTTTGGTTTTTCAGCGCGGGGATGCTCAATTTACGTTGTTTTTCTTGCGGGGAGGCGCTGCGCCCTCCCCTGCCCCCTCCCGCTTTTTTAATTGATGGTATTGCTACAGCGCAGCACGACAGCCAAGAAAACAACCAAGCGCATACATCCATACATACAGCCTACCTACCCGCCTGCCTGCCTGCCTGCCTGCCTACCATAGATACGTGCGTACGAACATACACATACACACACGCATAAATGCATACATACATACATACATGCATACATTTTATTGATGGGAAGAGCCTTCTTCTTCTCTTGTTCCTTCTCCTCTCTCCTCTGTTTCCTTCTCTTTCTCCTTCTCCTTCTCTTTCTCCTCCTCCCTATTTTCCTCCTTTTCCTTTTTCTCCTCCTTCTACAATTCTGTTCCTTGCCTTCTATGCTAGTTTTTTCTCCTTTCCTTTTTCTCCTTCTCCTTCTACTCTTCTGTCCCTTGCCTCCTGCGCTAGTTCTCTTTCTTTTTCTCTTTGTGGCAACCCCTGACCACAAACAGTGCGGAAAAAGTCCCAAAACGCCTCGGAAAAAAATCCCGAAGAAAAAGGTCGCCCTTTTCTATATCATGCTTTTTTGCTTTTAATGGCAGCTTTGAACAGCAGAAGAACAACCATTTATGTCATGTGTGATGAACTTGTGGCACTCGTGTGTTTGTTTGTGTGTTGATATTAAAACCCTCCGTGTTTCAAAATACCTTTTGAGTTTTTGTGTGTTGAGTTAAGTATTCGATCTTCTTCCCAAAGGCTGGCTTTCCTACAAACATTCCTTTACTGGATGCCCGGCCCAATCTTTCCCCAATCTTACCTAACTCAGTGACAAACATGTTCCCGTGGTTGCTGCGGTTTGGATATGATGAAGGAGGGGGGGCTCTTGTCCCCGCCAATGACACCCATCCAGGTTGCTTGCACTGTGCGTTTGCATGCGCGCGCTTCCTCCGAACGTGACCTCAGCACGCTCGAAAGGGGCTTTCTAGAAGCTTTGCTCTCGGCTAGGCAGGGGCTTGGTGTTTGGCTTGCTGTGTGGGGGCTAGGGCTTACTGTGCTCCCATGTCACAAGGTTGTTCTGACCCCTTCATTTGCCAACTGTGTTGAGGAGTCCTGGCTTTGTTTGCGGATCTTTTGGCGGCCTGACAAAAGCCGAACATGGGCACCATATACTTGATATCATAAGCTTGCTCAGACCTCCAGAAAGTATAAGGTTGCACACCGTGATAAACGATTTCGTGCCACTTCCTCAAAATAGTCCAGTAGATCCCTGCTTCGCCAGGAAAATAACCCAGTGGCGGCGCTGAGCGAGATGATGGACAGAGAAGGGCCGGAAGTCGCAGGGGATCCACGCAAAGCTCCCAGATCTTCACAACGTGAGCCATGTTACAGCTAATATTTGGGGGCTGCCACTGCCTGTGCACACAGTTGTTGCAATGGTTAAACACATGCGCTTGTGGAGCATCATGCACTGTTCTAGGGTGATTCTTTGCCCCGAGTCGTATTGAAGCGGCCCCACGTGGTTGGCCAAGGTCTTCGGGAGTCAGGATTTGTCATCGCGTGGGGAGCAGCACATGTTTTTTGGGAATGGACGCCCGCATTCCATTCTATGCCTAAGATCCTTCCACAATATTTGGTTTCGCAAGATTTGGGTTTCGACGTGTCCGCCCGACAAACCACCGCGAGGACATGATCGATGCGTCGCCGAAGACCACTGTGGCCGCCATCAATGGACCCGCTTTGGGCGGAGGCTGCGAGGTGAGTTTGGCCTGCTCGGGTGCTTGGTGTGTTTGAGGTTGACGGTGACGAGTTGGATGATGGACATGGGAAACTTTGTCACCCGGCGGTGAACCATGTGATGAATCTTTCATAGAGAGGAAACACTGATGCCCGCCTGAATGTTATTTTACCCGTGCGTCAAACAAGATCAAAGATCTGTGTCGCATCGAGGATATATAGAAGACGGATTGGGACATTTGTTCGGTGTGGCAGATCCTTCTCACTCTCACAATTTTTTTGTTTAATTATTCTATCATGATCTATCATTGAAAGCACGTTTCAAGGAAGGCCCACAGCCGTGCCCATTTGCGTCCGTGTCGCAGATGAAAATGAAACGCAAAGAGAGGCGACACACTGAGGCCACTACCGCGTTTGCGATCCCAAAGCCTCGGTGGGCTTTCCAGAGGCGGGTGCGGAGCCGGGTGGTTCTGCAGAGCGAAGCTCGTTCTGCTTCTATCGAGAATTGTATCCATTTGTTGTTCAATTCCATCTTTCAAGTGTTTCTTAGTGCTTGGATCGCTCTTAGGTTGGAGGCCATTGCTATTAAGTTTCCCAAAAAATTCAGGAAACCAATCATTAGTGCTTTCTTGCTGTTTCTCGTGTTTAGAGACATCCAGAGGTCGATGACACACACATTGGATTTGACAGCGGATTCCTGTTGTGACTCTTCAAGGATCACATGGTGGAAGCCGAACTGTACGCACGAAGGGAATCTAAGTATGGCAGGTTCATAACACTAATCTGTGTGTCTGTGGGGATCAGAAGTGATGTTTTGAAGGTTTACCGTTTGCCCCATGCAAGTTATCATGGATGGATGGGTGATTTAGTGGAAAGAAGACGGGTATAGTATAGACCTTCAAGAGAGATGTTCAACAAGCACTTTGACACTTCAGAGAACTCAGATTCTTACTCACAGGGTCCAGATAGCCTCGTTGTGGCTGGAAGTTGATGGTTTTCCTTCGCTATTTGCAGTTGGCCATTCTAACCCGAGAAATCTTCCAACCAGGCGTTCCCGCAGTTCTTAGAAGCCCCACAAAGGTGATGATGTCGCACTGCATGGCATGATGTGCCCGTCATGCCACAACCAAAGGAGGATGTCTTGAGGAATGCAACATACAGTAGGGACACGGCTTGTGTCTTGGGCATCCAGCTGTTTCCAGGCCAAACACATCGCACCGCACCGCGTTCGTCGGATCCAGAGGTTTTTGCTCCCCCTTCAATTGCCTGCAGTCGGATCGGTTGGTTCACATGTCGATTTGTTGCCGACCTTGTTGACAAGTATCAAGGGCATCGCTACTAGTCGGAAGGGCATTACTCCACTGGTCGGGATACTGCTATTGCCCCATCTACGTGCTTCACCTTTCATGTGCTTCACCTGGCACATCACTCTCTGTTGGGCGCTTGCGCCTCGTGTGTGGATATTCCTGCTGGAACCATCCTGCACCCAGCAGCAACGCGGACGGCCGTCGATGTGGAGGGCAGACGACGAAGGGCCCTAGATAATTGCCACGAGGGGCGCTATGGGAGAGGTACCCTCAAAAGCCCATGGTTTTGGCATCACACGATGGGGAATCTTGGGAGCCTACACGCCAAACCAGTTGCCATTGCTGTCCTGTACCACTTGAGCCTGCCAGATTTGGTGCCGACGCATGGACAATGGGCCTCCACAAGAGTTGCGCGTCGCATACTTTTCCGACCCAAGTGTGTTAAACTTTAGGGTCTGCAGAATGAGATGCTACGTTGACGTTCCCTGGACGACTGGAGTCACCATCCCGCTTCCCCAGTCGTTCCTACATTGCAGTTCGTTTTGGAAACGAGTCACCGTCCTGATGAGCCTTGGGAGGCCAACACATCCGGACAGGACTTAAACCCTCGGTTTGTGGGCTCGCCCTATTCCAATACACACCCCAAACTGCCATCCCTCAGTGTCGGCCAGGTGAACTTGGGCCTTTTGCCAGGAGCACAGGTGTGCGCGGAGAAGAGTCAAAAGCCGGACCGTGTTTCTTTTCGACCGGCCGCGTTTTGGCAGCAGCCGGTGGAGCGTGTGTAAGCCTTCCTCGCGGGATGCGGGTGCCAATGGGCATTTTTTCCGCGTTGCGCTTTTGAGTCTTTTGTTCATATATATATATATATATATAGTTAGTTAGTTAGTTAGTTAGTTCGTTCGTTCGTTCGTTCGTTAGTTAGCTTGCTTGCTTGCTTGCTTGCTTGTTTGTTTGTTTGTTTGTTTGTGAACGCTTTTGGATGTCCACAACGGCCCCGTACAGACCAACATGTGCGATAAACGTACTATATATGCCACGTGTCTGTACTACCTTCTTGTTATGTTTTTAAACTGAATGACGTCCAAACCTTGCTTGTTGGTGAGAGAGAGAGAGAGCTAGCTAATGTCTCACATATTTGATGTGCATATTGTGATGGCTCGCATGCCTCATTTTGGTTGACTTGGACTAGACCGTGTTTATCCTTATTTAACAGTTTTCACGAAGGATGTGTGACTGCTTTGTATACGGAAACAATCATCCAAAGAGAACCGTCAAGTTGGGGCAGCCTTCGACCGCAGGGCACTCAACGATTGCCTCGTGTGGCACCTTTGCCAACTGCCATGCAAATGCCACTTGGCAGGATGCAGGTCGTGTGTCGTTAAATCAGCGATAGGTCCAGTTTAATACGTGTTGAGTCTGACTGTCTTTGGCACACCCTGGACCGAAGACAGCTCAAATCAAAAAAAGACGCTGTTCCTTTGAACCTCCAGGCCAAAGCAAAGCTAATGTGAATCATATTTTTTTGTGCAACCTGTTGGAAGCAGATGCATGCTGATGCGTGATGACAGATGGTGACTGAAACAGAGCATAGGCCACTGGCGGGTGGCATTTGGAAGAGCTGAGTGGGCACATGATCCTCCAAATATTCATGGAAAACGTTGAATTCCCAGGCCTAGGCTTGATGTTCCACAATGCCAAAGCAGGATCGAATGTAACGGTGTATGTAGTTCGTGAGTAACAAGCAGAGTACTTGAAGCACATTTAGCACAATTAAACACTATGAGTTATTGCACGTTTGCAACTCCCAATGTACCTTGCGACATGGCATCAACTAGATACGTTTCTTCACCCTCTGTAGCACGGGGCGTCAGTGTGGCAATTTTACCGATCGGACCAATGATATTGGAACTGGATCACTTGATTCGAACCATCTCCGCGACGAAGCATCACATCATTCTTTGGTTTCCACCGGCCCGACACATGTTTATTGCCATTCCTGGCTGGGGGAGATGGCGTGAAGGAGAGGACTCTGGAACTGGTCCGTTGCAATCCTTGCCAGCCGTCCGAAGCAAGAATGTTCACTGCAAAAAAGAATTATCTTTTTTGGGCTTTCACGCGAGAATGGGCAAGACAGGAATACCCCTTTCTAGCTGAAGGATTCTTTCAACCTTTGCTTGGTCTGTGACACTGTGATCAATTTATGTTGGGTTTGCAGGAAGCTGACGATCACTTTGGCACTTTGGGTTTATTCTGTGTTTTGACCAAAGGGCCCTCTAGTTTGGAGCTCGCCGTTCTGGTACTGGCCACCCGGAAACAGTCTGGGGTCGATCGTCGAACTCCCCGGATTCGCTCTGTAAGGATCTTGCAGGGAAAGCCGCTGCTTGGAAGCAGTCTCTGCGAAATGATTTTCGATACCTGAAAAGTGGAAAGAAGATTAGGTCATACCCCCACCTGCGGAGCAACAGCGCAAAGCAACCATGTTGAGTCTGTTAAGAGGCCGTTTAGTAGCTAGAAGCTACTAGGAGCAAAGGGCATCGCTACTAGGAGCAAGGACGCTACTAGGGGCTCCTGGCCTTACTACTAGGAACAAGGGGGCGCTACTAGTAGGACGTGGACGGGCCAAAGTTTGACGAAGAGCAAAAGAGCCCGTGCGCACGGGCATCCCAGTTCGTCTGTTCTTGTGAGCCCCTGGTAGCGTCCTTGCTCCTAGCTTGGTACTCCTCATATTTCCATGCAATCTTAAGACATTTGGGAAGGTCTTCCTTCAAAGAAGAATGCCCCTGTTTTCGGTTCGGTGGGGGCCATGGCCAAGAAGAGACTTGGTGCGATGGCCGAGTCGTACGATGGCCAATGGTAGAGTCAAAGGAGATAAACAGGAATATAGACCACTAGTCAATGTGGCCAGGGTCCTTTGCCCTTTCAGGTGATGGGTCATTTGTGCTGGTTTCATGATGGTTTGACAGTTTGAGGGAGGTTGCAACAGCTGCACCCTGCCGAAACTCAGAGGATTTTTGTACGACTTGGACCCACGAATGGCAGCCAAAAAAGAAACAATGAATCAATTTTTCAGCAACTTCCAGTACAAGTTCATACAAGTCTGCCTTGAACAGCCCTACTCTTTCTCCAATGGAATCCTGGAACTGCGTGGTGGTCTCCCAAAGATGTATGTTCAACCTGTACTTGGGAAGATACATCCCAAGGACGAAACATGTTCAGGTCTGGTTGAAAACAACCAAACCAAACCATTTTCATTGAGGCTGAAGGCCGATGCGGCTCGCAAGCTGGGGTGCCCAACGACCACGGTCGGCCGGCTCCGTCGACTCGGGCACACCGGTGTTCTCCCAGCGAGCCGTTGGGAGGGCCGGTGAAGGGCCATGAAAATCCCTAGGAGCAAAGGGCATCGCGACTCGAACGGGGCGCTCCTGGCCATACTACTAGCAACAAGAGGACGCTACGAACGGAACAAAGGCCACTGGAAGTGACCATCCGATCCATATTATTCCGTGGTCCAGTCATGAGAAGACATGAGGTGTTCAACCGGGTGGTGATGAAGCTTTGAGCTTTGCGGTGGGATCGGTTGGGACGTTTGGGCCCCTAGGAACTTTGGGCTGCCACTTTTGCTCTCGACCGTTCCACAACCAGGGGGCCCAACCACTTTGGACGTGCTGATCCGTTCTGATTGACACTGACCCCTTTTCTCCAGACCGTTGGCTGATGTGAGCCGCCTGGCCGGCGACCCAGCTTGATTTCGACCATGGTCGAGCTCAACGGTCTCCTGGCAGAACCGACTCCGAGCCAAATCGCTGACTGCCGTGTGATCCTTCCGCCATCTCTTCCTCCATCGTTCCTGGTTCTTCCGGACCGCACGCGACACCCTCGGCGGGGCGGAAGACGGTCCGTGCTGTCGGCCTCCAAGGAACGGCATTGTCGATCTGGTGGCCACCAAGGACGGTCGACGGGAATCCCAGGTCGGCTGGTCGTGGTATCACTCACTGCATCAGGTGGGTATAGAGAATCTATACCCTTTCCAAGTAATACCCTCAAAAGATGTGGCTTTTCGCTGGTGGTCCCGGCCTCTTCAAGTGAATGGCGGACAGTCGCATTCCTGGCTTGATGCGGTTTCTTTACCAGATGGGGCTGACATGAATCTCCAATGACTGGAGGATGGACATGGGGTCAGAGCAACAGTCCCTCACGTTCGTCCCATGTCCCAACAGGTGTTGACCCTCACATGGCAAAACCTTGGTCCCAACGACTGGACGGTTCAGGTGCGACGGTGTGAGCTCGGACCCGGGATTGAGGTCCATCCGACCCCCATGCGATGTCTGCCCTGGGTCCCCAAATGCCCGGAACTAGCGAGATCTTGAGGAAAGAGACAAGTCAGACCGAGTCACACCGACCAATGCATCCTCCCTGTGCAGGATGTCATTGAGGAGGCAGCGGATTGGGCGCTCTCCCATCCGCCCAACCCCATCTCCAAGCGCGAAGTGCCCAAGACCAACAGGTGCCGATACAGCGACCACCGCTTCTTTTCTTGTACCGCGAGCGTGGTCGTGTCGCCGGAATTGAAAGGTTGCGTGATTTTTATCGCCGCCAGTGTTAGAGGTTTGGGGTTTGACATGGTCGATGTGTGGGATGGGAGGAGAGAGACACAAGTTGTGGACTCCCATATCATGTCTGCCATTGGGTAGAGTCTTTAGAGGACCTTAGCTAAACTTCCAAGAATCTCTTGTTTATTTTAATGTTTTGATAGCAGTTTGTCTTCCTTCAAAGTGTGTGTCTGTGTGTGGGTGGAGTCACACTCAATGCCTAATTTATAACGCTGCCGCATTTGACTGCGACCAACGGAACCACAGACGAAGGCGACAACTAGAGTCTAGCAACTAGAGCACGGAAAGCGTAATGGTCTACACCCCAAAACATGAGGCAAAAGCAGGCCAGTTGAAGTGGCCCAAACATGATAGAAAGAGCTCACAACTAGCTCCTCCACCAACTGGTGCAATCCGTAGATCCAGAACTGCCCATGTGCAGGTTCATGGTGGCGGCGGGTGGCTTGGAGCAGGGCCTCAACACGGCGGTGAACGCCGCGACTCGGTGTTTTCACGAGTCGTTTCCCGAGAGGTGTGGTGAGTCCGGGGAGGGGGGTGGCTGGGCGGGGTGAAATTTGGGTAACTAGGAGCAAGAAGCTACCAGTAACAAAGGGTATCGCCACTAGGAGCAAAGACGCTACTAGTAGCTGGCATCGCTACAAGTAACAAGAAGCTACTAGGCGAAGGTCAACAAAGTCTCCTTCGGAAGCGATGGAACCGATCTCCTGTTTTGGGGAAGTCCTTCTTGGCGATGGGACCCTGGCTTGGGTGACCTGGCTGATCCCCCCAGGTTCCACTCGAGTTCGTGCAGGCTAAGTTCATGGGATAGAAGGGGATCTCCAGAACATGGGGAAGAGTTTTTTTCAGTGAACTTGAGGGCCACAATTTGGGCAGGATGCCTTAAAAACACACCTTTCTTTTGGTATTTACCTCCGACGCCCAAATTGAAGCAGACCTTAGCCCGAGCCAGGGGAAGGCAGGTTTGCTTATTTTTGTGCTGGACCAATTATATAGTTTTCAGGACCAGTCTGTGGAATGTTTTTGTGGTTAAAGCTAGCCCATCCCCTATTGTGGCCGGTTAATTGGAGGACATCGGCACATCTACAGCCAGAGCAATGAACTAGTCTTAACCAAGGCGCATACGTGGAATATGGTTGTGGTGTATTCTTTTGGAGGAAATACTATGTACTTGTTGTATGTTGTTATATAGCTATGTGTGGTTGGCCCCGGTTGGCAAGACCATGTTGGTGTTCTTTTGACATCTGTTGATAGATGTATCAAGATGTATTACGTTGGGTTCACCATCGCCATGTTCACCATTTTAGCATGTAAATGCGCAACAATCTCCATGTTCAATCAATCCAACCCAAAATCGAGTTGGGATCCTGGAATCGGTTAAAACGGACTCTGAAAAGAACATGTGTCTCCAATGAAGATTCCTGACATGAAAAAGTCGGAGGGCCAGTCTCGTCTCAGGAAGATTCGGGCAACTCCGTCAAACATGGGGTTTTTGGGCAACCCGTATGGTGCACAGACCGGACTCTCAAGTGGGCAGAATCAGAGGATTACAATGGGTCTCTCTGAGAGTTTCTGGTTTCGGCCAAGAAGTTGACGCCTACTCAGGCTAAGCAACCAACCAACCCGCCAAGTTACTGGTTGACCCCCCCAACCCCGGCCTTTCGATGCTGTCCAGTCAATGCTGAATTCCACAGCCCAGGCACCTCTGATGATCGCCCCACGGGTCTGGGGACGTACGGGGAAGCCGGGTCTGGGGGCGATTCGTCACGGCACGGACCCCGTTTCACCCCTGGTAGAACAAGTAGAAACAATGTTCGCTAGTAGTAACAAGTGCATCGCTTCTAGTAACAAGTGCCTTACTAGTAGTAACAATAAGCTACTAGTAACAAGAATAAGCTACTAGTAACAAGTGCATCGCTTCTAGTAACAAGTGCCTTACTACTAGGAACAAGAAGCTACTAGTTTTAATTCTAACAAGAATAAGCTACTAGTAACAAGTGCCTCGCTTCAAGTAACAAGTGCCTTACTAGTAGTAACAAGAAGCAAGTAGTCTATCCGATCTATTCTGTTCTTCCTAGCCATTTTGGTTTCTTCTCACCGGTGGAAGCGCGAACAGTTGGTGGATGCGTTTCTTCTCGATGTCACTGCATGTCGGTGCAGGATGTCACGGTCCTGTCCGAATCGTTCTTTCATGGCGTGAGGTCGGCTTGATGTTCTTCCGGGTACAAGACCACTGGCCACATGCACAGTGCATGGAAGGGTTGTTGGTAAACAACTTAAATCCTCATAGGTAATCCGTTGGACTATAACGGTTGATGAACCAGAGGATGGGCATTCAAACAGATTGATTCATTTGGTCCACCAAAGTTCCCCTTCTTGCTTCCCGGACCCCCGGTCCTTTGGTCTCGGCACATACGATACGTTTCCATCTGCGTCTCGAAGCTGTGCCACGTTGCTGAGGCCATCATCAAATGTTTCGAAGCAGCTTGCTCCCACAAGAGCTTTCGAGAGGCCTGCCTTCAGCCAATTCTTCATTTTTTTTTGTGTGGCAGAGGGAAAGGCCACAGAAATTCCTGATTGAACAACCTGCCATGGTCTTGGCATGTCTTGGCATCCGGGTAAGGTGCCGATCTAGTCAGGTCAAAGGAACGTCCCAGAGGTGATTTACATCGATGCATCCCAAGTCTTGTTCTCTCAAGACTCGCTTTTCGGTTTCAGGTTCAGTCACTTACGGGGTTTCGGGGCTCATCAGAGATGAATCATCAGGTTCCTCAGAGAATCGTTGGGGGATCGAAGCAGCCCTCCACATGCAAGCACATACGCACAAGCACACCAGCCAGCCTGAGTCGTTTTCACGACTCAAACCCTTAAACTGCAAACAGGACTGGGGTTGACGAGTTATCTGAGTAGATCAAACTTTGCTGGTGGATATACTTTTCACTAGTTCCCTTTCACCTTCAAAGAGCACCCTGAATTGCCACTGGTGAACAGTGGCACTTAATAAGTTTGATTCACCATGTTTTTGATCCGGGGGAGAGCCAGAAGTGCCAGACTGAAGAATGTTTTGAGACATTCTAGACGGCCTACAATATAATGCTACATATGATGGCAAATGAATTAGCAAGCTTTGCATTGCCCGCTGAATTTGTGCGATTGCACCATTTTTCACTCGGTTAGATTCGCCCACTGATCCTCTCCAATTGAGCCCTGGACCATCCGGTCAAGGTCACTTGGCTTGGCTCCACACTCCTAGACTCTAGACTCTAGACTGGATCTGCCGAAGCACTTTAGTCACAGTGACCACCCAGAACACAGTCCAGTTGCTCCCTTTGTGCGCTGCCTGTGTGCCAAGCGCTGCCAGGGCTTGGCGGTGGAGATGGAGCAATTCACCAACCTCGTCTTCTCCGTGGAATCTGCGGCCTGGAGGTCCCAGGTCTGGCCTTACGGCGATCCGACGCGAACCGAACGGGGCGCTCCTGGCCGTACGACGAACGGAACACAGGGCATCGCAATTGGTAGCAAGGATGCCGCGTTGCTCCCGGCCTGAACGGAGGGACCTGATTGACCGAAGAACTCTTTGAACGGAGGGTGTTTGGAGCAGCCCTGATTCGCAAGGCCTGTAGTTTGGATGTCCAGCTTTTCTTGGGAGTTTGATCTAACAACCGCAGGGGGTGCACAAGGACATGCGTAGCGAATACACGACCTAAGTGTGCTTCTTGGAACTTGTTTTTGATGGTTTTGTTTTCTTTCCCTTTTTCTGTGATGCTCTGTCACATTTTCGCTGGAGGGTCCAGGTACCTCCCAAATTCTGGATCTGCCACACCTCACACCTCACTCAGTAGATGACATCATGTCCTCACTCAGCCTGTTCTGGGAGCTAGCTACTAGTAGCTCCTGGCATCTTTAGCCCGATCTCCAAGGCCCTGCGTCATCTCTTCCTCGCCGAGCGCTTGGCGCAGAAGGCAGGCTCCAAACGTCTTCGTTTTTGCTTTCCTACGTCCTACCCAGAGGCTTACTTGCAGATACTAGCTACATCACCACCCCGCTGCAAAAAAGAAGAGGCAACCAAAAAAGACGCCTACCTCTTCCTATAGCCTACCACCCCCCTCCCCCAGTGGCGGGTTCAGCGGGTTCTCGGTCAGGTGCCAGGGATCGATGAGAAGCCTGCGCCACTGATGCTGGGCGAGACAAGACGAGTTGGCGGTGGTCTTTCTTTCTCTCTTCCTTTTTTCGAGGCAGAAGCAACATCGAAGGCTTGCTTTCTGCAAATTGACAGCACCAGTGCTGATGCTGGCACCCTTTTTTTTTGGATCGTCTGACCGAAGCAACTCCGAAGACCGTTTTTTTGTTTTCTCTCCTACCCTTCTATACATATATATAGCGGAAAAGAGCGTGAGGAATATATACTGATACTGTATTCGGTTCTGCGCTGCGGTGATGGTCCGAATGGCGAGGAGGAGTGGAAAGCTTCGTTGGCTGGTTCATCTCAATCTTGGTTCAGAAACCCACGGACTCGATCTCTTTTTTTCCCAGGACTATTATACTGAGACTCAGTATATAAAGTGACTATGAGGGATCCTATTGTGAAGTGGGTGCATCGTCTGCTTTTTGGAACGACCTGACAGCTTTCCGGTTGCAGCAAGTGTTCTGGGCCAACAACATCATCCGGGTTCAGGATTGTTTGTTTTCAGGATTGGGGCAGCCCCTGTTGGATGCTCAGTGGCCGTGGGTGGCCCCCGAAATAGTGCAGCTGCTGGGAGTCGGAATTGGAGTGGTTCAGTGGGTTTTGCTGAAGGTGATCTCTTCTTTTTCCCTTCCAGTGAATCCTTTGAAAGAATCTGGGACTGCTTGGTATCTACTTACCACCTTCTCAGGTGCAATCCAGGCCTGAAGTATATAAATGAAGTTGGCCTTGAACGGGTCAGCTCAAGCGATGCGGCCTCAAAACTCAAAACAACCGATGAGCCTACCAGCTCAAACCCCAAAGAGTTTAATGATACACATGGTTCGAGCGTCGGACTGGTGCTGGGGTATGCTGCACACTTTCTACAATCCCTACCAGTCCTTGAGAATCATTCAGTGTTGGTCAAACCACAGAGGGACCGGTCCTTGCGGCTGAAAAGGACGCCGCAGTCATGGAGTCCAACGAGTTTGGTCCGCCTGGGCCGCCGCCAGTTTGGACCCTCCGTTCCTAGTTGCTTCTTGCCCCGTTCGTAGCGATGTCCTTTGCCGCCTTTGCTCCGTTCGTAGGAAGGCCAGGAGCCCCGTTTCGGTTCGCGTCCGAACGCTCCGAACGTCTCTGAGGAAGAAGATCGGCATTTTGGGCGCCGGCTTGATGGGTGCCTCGGTGTCGATCGCGGGTTGATCGTTCAGGGTCGACCGCGGGTCGATCGACCGTGCTTTCTGGGTCCCGAGACGGAATCATGATTTAGAGCACTGAGATGGAATCAGAATGATCATAGATTCATCATAGATTCATCTGCATCACTGATGGGCCGCTGGATTCCGCTGGGCAAAGACAGCTCGCCGACGGAGTCCAGTCGCCCAGACCTGGGGGTCCTTCATGTCTCTCCACTGGATTGGACCTGCAGGAGCTGGTTGGTCCGGTTGGTCGCATGAGTCCAAAGATCAACCAGAAGCTGGCTTCCTAACAGCAGCCACTTAATACGCTATATAATTGATTAATATATATATATATATACCAGCTTTGTCCGTGTGACAGACAAGCAACCTTTCAAGATGTTTGATGTCAAAGACCACTTCAAATCATGTCTTTAACGGCACCCTGTGGTGCTCGGAATCCGGAGCAGAAAAAAGCCTTCTATTGCTTAGATGGATCCCAGTGCGACCTCACATGACCTCTGGAAGCGAAGTCGACTTGAGGAGTCAGGACCCCCTAAGTCGGCTGTGGTTCTTCCTTGACCAGCCATGATGAGTTCTGGAACCCCGTGATTTTTTGAGTCGCACATGATGAGTTCTCCTACTCGCACTCTCCCCTAGAAAAGAAAGACAACCAAACCCTGCCAATTAGAACAACGCTGGATCTCTCCATGCCGACCCCCATGCGTTGGAGGCGGTGGCATCGTCAGGGGATCCCGGTCGGAAGCATGGGCCAGTCTGACGGGAACCTCTTCGGCAGGAGGGATTTCGAGGCAGGATCCTGAGCCACCTATAGATCCTATATTATAGGGGATTTCGATCCACTTGTCAAGCAAGTAGGAGGATCTGGATCTAGAAAGATTTGTTTGTATCGAGCAAGATGCGAAGATGGATTCTTGTTTGAATAATTATTGCTCAGTAGGGAGGCACCACTGATTCTCTCCGGAAGTTTAACGACTGCGGGTGACAGAAGGTGATCGAATGTGATAGCTATTCACCACCTTTGCCTCAAACATTGCATCTAGAATCTACATGTTTCATAAGCTTGGATTCTAGGCTCAATTGAGAAGCCCTGGATGAGCACCACCCACCGCCCTGCAACAGGGACTTTTCATTACATGACGGTGGTGTAGTATGCTTATAGGTTTTGTTCGATCGCTCTGTTAGATCGCTTCAACCTTCGTTCTTTGCGCCGGACGTGCCAAGGCCATGTGCTTTGTACAGAAGGGCGTGCCAGTGGTGCTGAAGGAGCGGAAGCCCGAAGCATCGCGACACAAAACTGCGGACACGGATCAGTGTGTGCCCAGGATGGTCGATCTCTCTCCTGACGCAAATCAGAACTGAAGCGAATCGAAAACAAAGGAATCACTTGTCAGATCTAAAGCAAAAGAACAAGAGAAGGTCTAAAAGGTCTAAAGAAGAAAACAAAAGGAAAACCACCTCGTGAAGAATCATCAGTAAGAAAACACCTGAACGAATCGATGAGAAGGCTCCCCCGCTGTGAGGACGCCAAGCAGGAGTGGTTGGATGCCGGCATGAAGAAGATCGAGTCCCTTTGGGGCGGACAGGCGATTTTTGCTGCGATGAAGGAAGGAATTGGATAGGGGGTGAGTCAATGAAACAGAGGGGGAACAGAGAAGAGCAAATACTGTATGTAGATGATTTTAGGCGTTTCAAGCTTCTAGGTTATGATATCTACACAGTCATGTCCTCACCTTGCAACCCGCTTTACCACTAGCCTGCATATTTCATTCCAGGCGGATCATGGATTGCTTGGGAGGGTAGGTTTATGTGGGGGCTGGGTGATGGGGTCGCCGGGTCTTTGACGCTGTTCAAAACATCGGTGGGATGTTGAATCTGGTTACTGCTGGCGGGTTTTCAATTACTTCTTCTCAACCTCGTCCAAGGAAATCTTACATATATAGATTTATAATGTTATTCTGAAGTTATTGTATTTCATCATCTATTCAATTCCCGACAATGGACATCTTAGCGTCTCCTGGCTTTCCTCCCAGGTTTTGAAGGCGCCAAAGAAAATTTGGGAGCTTCGTCACCCGAAAGACGAAAGGGGTATGAATCCAGGATATTTAGCTAAGCTATGCGTAGCTATGAAGCGCATAGCTCCTGCTCCCCCCCATGGCTGTAGCTTCATGGCTCCTCACCTGCCAGGCCAAGAGGGGTCGTTTGAGCAAGGATAAGTTCAAGCAGTACATGAGCAGCTTGGCATTGGATGAGCTTCGCATTTTTCACCAGTTTGATTTGGCTCGAGCACAAATGAATCTCCCAAAACACATGAAGGATGCAGCTTTTCTGGCACAGCGAAACCACAGGGATGCAGAGTGGAATTTCTTCTCCCAAACTACCTTTTCGTTGTAACCTTTTCGTATCGACTCTTGATGTCTGGGACCGGTGCTTAGCTCCCGATAAGCTTCCCAATTGTGAACATCAAACGTTTGGATCTGGAGCGGATTTGAAGTAGTCATTGCTTTGAACAAGCCAATTGAATGAACATGTGTGAAGGGCAATGCTTCGATATTTCTTCTCGGCCAACGGCAAACAGGGTTTGTATCTCTTTCGACGCGTTCCAGTTTATGTAGAGTTGGGATATTCGACCTTCGGCGAAGCATACACCGAAGCATACCCTATAGTCAAACATCCCTGCCGGCGAACGTCAAAACAATTCAATGTTGTTCCAGGGTGCCATCCTGCACCGTTTGGGAATGAATGTGGGTCAAACCTCCATATTGCTGGAGCCATCATTGCACAGTCGTGCTCGAAACACCTTATAGACCCCCCAACCGAGCGACGAACGCTTTATGGAAACTAGGCGATTAAACGCGGACCGATCAAGGCTTTTCCAAGGAAAAAAACTCCTAAAGCCGAAAAGAGACGAGTTTTGGTGGCTGGGGTGGGTCGGCTTTCTTATTTCGATCCACCAAAATACCGACTGCTGTTTCGACTAGGATTGGCTAAGAGTAGGCAGGCATGAGTCCCAAGACCATCTCCAGGGTTTGTTAGATCGAAAAGTGCTACCCCCTTCTCCCCTGAGACATCACAGATGTGGGCGGTGGTCAGTTTGGATCAAAGACGGTGACACCATTGGCTTCAAAGCTAGGTAATCTTGATATTATGCACCAACAAGACTCACAAGACATTATGCACCAAGACCGAAAAGTAACTGAACAGAACAGTTTTCTTGAAAACCTTGGCTTTGGCACTCCCTCAGCACACCGAGGTCGAACGAAGGAATCCAGGGACCATAGCCACTTTCATTTTCACGCAGAAAGTGTTTCCACTGTGTGATAAACTCCTGCACCAACTGACTTGCCAAACTTTCCAAGCTTGCTTGCCCTATCCATCTCAGTCTCCGCCTCCCCAGGCCTCATTAAGCCGACTTTGCTCCTTGGGCGCAGTTCGCCAGGTCAGTACCATTCGGTTTCGAGTTGTCCGCCCTGATGGCTGTGAAGAATACCCCATTGAAGCGTATGATCAGATTGCTCAATTTGATCTACTACAAGAAGGCTTTCCCACGGTTTCGCTCGACTTTTTAGGTGTTTGTATGAGCACCCTGGCTCACCATGTTATTGAAAGCCGACGATTCCTGGCGAATTGGGATCAATTCCATGCTTTGTAGCTGGCCACAGTCTTCACTGCTGGGTGTAAGATCACATCTATTCTCATGTCAGTATTTCCGCAGGCTGCCTAGCTTCAACTTGTATACATTTTGTACAGAGGTCTGGTCATGACCCCTGAATACCAGCAAAACGGAGGAGGTTGCACCAAACTTCCTTCCTGAAGGGTGGATTGGTGGATTTCCAACTTCCAACTTCCCACAAAGTGCCAAAAGGATCCAAAAGGGCCACTTTTGGCATCGCCAGGTTGAAAAAAAAGCCGCTTCCAAGAGTCGGGTTTTGCGGGTTTGTCCACGACCGGATGGTCTGAAAGAACGAGGGGATTCAGTGATGCCACGGTTCCTGCGCCTGCACTTGTTACTAATAGCTTCTTGTTACTAGTAGTAAGGCACTTTTTACTAGTAGCGTGGCACTTGTTACTTATCACTTTTTTCCGGGATTCAATGATGAGTTCACCGAACTAGTCGATGTAGTCGTCGCTCCCGAGGGACTATGCGGACTTCAAAGATGTCGACATGGTCATCGCTGCTTCGTCCCGCATTTATTTTATAGCCAGACGGGACGGACAGCGGGGATACCGTGAAATCGGAGCGGATGGAAGACTTGGAGATGGTGTTGGTCGAGATTGCAGCGACACACGCCGAAGCGTCACGGAGACCTGGAGACTGGCCCCTTTTCAAACACCGAGTTTCCTCCTTGACTGAGTTTCCGCATTGCATTGGAACAGTGGAGCAAGTTAGAGTATATAGATCGGGGCAATACATAAAGAATTGTAGTACTGTAGTACTGGACGTCCGATGGTAGATCTTGCTGTCTCACAGGTTGTAGTAGTTCGTCCCTGCTCGTGAGAACACACACTGCAGATTTTGGGGTCCTCGCCAAAAACTTTGATTGGATGCGACACAGCCAATGCCGGGCAATGCCATGGTTAGATCTGACGGTTAGATACCCAAGCAATGCTTAAAAATCTTAAACGTTCCGTGGTTCTTACTCCAAGAACGCTTATAAGGTTGCTCTACATGTTTCCCACGTTTTAACTCCATGTATCTGGAACAGTCCGTCACCAACCTGTCTTTGTAAAGCATCCACTTCGCACCATAGCAGAGGCCCTTGCTAGACCCATCCATGTCCACTCCCATTGTTACTACTAGCGTGGCACTTGTTACTAGTAGCTTCTTGTTACTACTAGTAAGGGACCTGTTACTACTAGCGTGGCACTTGTTTCCTCTTGCTCCGGTGCCCAGGAAGCGGTCCCAGAGATCATGGAGCTCAAGAAGGAGGCGACAGCGATCGACCGGCCTCCACCGGCTGGCGCACGACCGGCCTCTCGAGCGGTCCGGTGTTGAAGACGGGTGGTACCGGTCCTCTCTTTTTTCTTTGTGTTCTTATTCCGGGTGGGTCAATAGAACAGGTTGAAGACCGCACCCGATGAATTAGGGTCTCTCTAGAAAAAAGGAATATGATTGGCAGGTTATTTTGTGAATGTGTTTGTTTAGTGTTCTTGGATTGTGACCAAAGCTGGCGGTCTGAGACCACAGACACCTTCAAAAACAAGATTCTGAGGAGCGAATAGGTTGGGATGGTAGCGACCATGAGAGAAGGAACAGGCCCTGCAAGGTGGATGCTACACCATGCAAGTGAGCGCTGTGACTGCCCAGCATAGCGGCATAGACCCAAATGAGAGCCTGCAGACCAAGCGACCGAACGGAAACAAGGTTTCCCCACATGATTTTTGCTCTTTTGAGGTTTGTATGCTCTTTGGATCTAACAAGTGAGTTCGGTTCATAAAGAGTCACTGGGGGCAATTCGATTTTATTTCCTCGGCAAATGGTTTCTATTACCTGGGAGTAGTAGGGAGAATTGATTCGTTGTAGTTTTGGTTGTCTTAGATTTTGTCTTAGATTTAATGATTTAGATTCTCTTTCCAACTGCCTGATTCGAGAACTTTTGGAGCGTGTTAAAACTGCCAACCAGCAGTTTGAAGTGTAGTAAAGCTAGCCATTTTCCCAACTGCCTGCTTCGAGATATTTCTTGATGCGGTGTAGGATGGATGCCGTACCTCCTTGATTGGTCACTTGGTCTCGGCATGTCTCCGCGAAGTTTGGCAGGTCTTCTTGGACATTGAGAAAAAACACCAAGCCCGATGCGTTGATCTGCACCAACACCAGCGGGCTCAACATTGATCCCTGGTGGTAACGACCTGGAGAGTCCGTTTTTTTCTGAAGAGAAGGATCGGCTTTGAGGTACGGTTTTGTCGATCGCCAAAGCGGTGAACCTGTAAAACCTTTGTTGGGGATGGGGTTCCCTGCCAAAGATGGTAGAGAAAGGTCCAGGGAACAGAAGACAGAAGGTTAGGAATAAAGGAGCAATGTCAAGACCTGATTAATTAATACACCGCCCCCCCCCACATGGTAGGTCAACAAGGTCAACAAGGTATGAGGTACCACTCATAAGGTCCACCTTGCCTGAATAATGTGCTATGAGACCCAAAAAGAGACGAGCAGAATGAGGTGAGAGTTGCTGAATGAGCAGCATGAGTTGAGAGTTGGTGAGTTGATTGATGAACCTCCCTTAGTTAATGAATTAATGAAACTACTAAGCATTTTTTTGGGGTTGTGTGGGCTTGGATTAAGTGGGGCGGTTTCTGGCACCCAACTAGAGAATTAGGGGCAACTATGCCACCAATACTAGTGTGCTCGGATTAACTAAGGGAGGTGAATTAATAATGACTTTACATTACGCAAAACTCCAGAACAGCGCCAAGATTGCCAAACAATCGTCACTTAGCTGAGAGATGGTGGGAAAGATTTTGGGTCGCTGCAATCAGGCAATGCAAAACGCTGACGACTCATTGTCAGGTATCGAACACCAAAGATCATTGTGCACTATTTTAGGTGCAGCCACAGTTACAGTCTCGGGATCCCACTGCACCGTCGAGGATGACATCGCATGCGTGCTGAAGGCAGCAGCGTTTGTCTTGGGAGTGGGGAAGCTGGGGGGAAAGATCACCAGGGATTTGGCAGAACAGGATAGGTCTGGTTTGTGGGCATTCTTAGTAAGAACCAATTGCACCTATTCTTGGTTATATTCCTATCCTGTAGGAACCAAATGAATAGTGCGAGCGCTTCTTCAAGGAAGCTCCCCCCGGGAAGCTCCCCCCCCCCTTGGGTGAGCTTCCTTGAAGAAGCGTGAGCTATCCTGCGTCCGTTCGGTAGCAGGTTACCAAGTAGTTTGTTTAGGCTCATCAAGGACCCCGCTGTTTTTGAGTGTTTGCACCAGATTTCGTGCGGTATTTGCGGCACTTTGTAGTTTCGCGTGGTATTTACAGGTGTTTTTGACAGTCGTTTCCCTCATGCACATGATCGCGTGGTATTTACATTTGTGACATGCGTTTCCGTCATGCACATGATAGCATGTGAAGGGGGTGGGGCGGGTGGTGTGCGCTTGGGGGGTGTTGACGTTCGTGTCGATGAACATTCCGAGTCTTGCGCATCATAGCATGTGGGGGGGTTGGGGGGGGGGGGGGGCGGGGGGGTGGTGTCTTCCTTGAAGAAGCGCTGGCACCAATGATTTGGTTCCTAGATTTTTTGTGAAACATAACTATAAACAGGCGACTGCACAACACCAGCATGCAGTACGCAGCGTGGCCCTCACCCTTACTCAATTCAGTATGCGGCTAAACAAGGTAGCGGCGTTGTTAAGGACCCCGCTGTTTTTTAGTATTCCAAACATGAAAACTCCACGAAAACAATATTTCCACTGTTATTTGCAGGAGAACAAACAAATTTGTCAGAATTCCATTGTGTAAAATTTTCAGGTTCAAACAACAAATAAGTTAAACACACGCGAAATTGGACACACATTTGGTTAAACCACACTCGGAATGTTCATCGACAGGAACGTCAAAACCTCCCCAGCCCACCCCCCACCATGCTATGCTGCGCAAGATTCAACACCCGGAGCTTCCTTGAAGAAGCGTGAACTATCCTGCGTCCATATGTAGTAGCTACTTAAGCTACTAGCCCCCCCCCAAAAAAAAGAGAAAACCAAAAGGACAAGGAAACGATTTCTCAGCTTTGTTTTGCACCGGTCCAACCTCGGACCTTTTCGACGGGCACAGGATCGCGATCGGCCGGCAGATTCCGATCAGTTTTGGTCTTTCAACGGCATGAAACGGGATTTCTCGGGATTCTTAACGGGGTTTCAAAGATTCCTTTGTTTAGCGAATCTCAGGAAGATTGAACACCTCCTTTTGAAAAATCGGGATCTTCGCAAGGGACCATCATTAAGTGAAAGTGTATTAAATGACCAAAACAGCGCCTTGGACCTACCGCAATTCAAGAGACTGTAGCTCTTGGGGGTTTTCCAATGGTTTCCCAGTTTCTGAATTGTCTTCTCCGCTTCATTCTGCGCCGTGTCTGGTGGGTGCTTTATTGGTCGCCACTTCTGTACGTAGTGAATAAAGAACATGCAACTTGGTGGGTCAAGCAGTGATAACGAGGTCACCTCTCAGAATTGACTTGGCCCGGATTTAGAGTGGCATAGAGCGGCTGAAAGAAAGAGAACCACCTCTGAATTCCTATTTATTGGACAGAATTCTCTTCCAGGAGGCCACCAATAAAACAAAGGGCTTGCAGGTCCAATGGATGAAAGGCCTCAAGGCTCAAGGCTTTTGCAACTTGCTGTCTCAGCCGGACAGGATCCTACCCGCGTGATGGGTACCCACTTCTTCTCTCCAGCGAATGTACCTTGGCGAGAATTGGGTCACAACATACTGTGGAGAGAGTTTGATGGCGCAATCCTTAGTACAGATGGCCCAACCATGCGTTTAGTCGGGGACTGTCTCAATCTCTGCATCAAGTCTGCACCATGTACTTATGATACCGCACCATTTGTGATTTGTGCGATAGAATCGTGGCAATGACTGGCACCTAGGATTGCAACCCTTTTAATTACCAGTCGCACCTTTCTGGGGTAAGGAGCGGTCAGGAGTCAGGAGTCAGGCGCCGAAAATAGCAGGTTCTCCACTGAAAAGAGAGCCGACAAGCTACACGTAGTTTCTTAGCCACTGGCCAGGCATTTCAAGCGAGATACCTGCGATCTGGATCGCTGCCACGGTGTTTTTCTTTGGTGTGGCCTCGAGTTACCCGGGCAAGGGTGGGTGCGTCCGCGGCTGAACCTGTACCTTTCGTCTCCAGGGGAGCCACCAGCTCAAGTCTGATCAGTACTGGCGAAGCGCACTGGAGATGGGAGGAAGGGCACTGACATCACGGGCGTTCCAAGATGTGGCCACGTTTTGGTGCAGCAACGCCATGGAAGGCTTTCCATCGTCCTTCCATGGCTTCCCAACCCTCAAAACGTGTGGCTTCAGGGCGGATGGGGTTGACTGAGGTGATGCAGCTCTTGGAGAATATCCGCACCGCTAAGTCTTCTGCCCGCACACTGGCCACAGGCGAAGCTGGGGGATCGGGATGAGAGATTTCGCCTTTGCTATCAAAGGACTATATTCTTGTAGTTGAACGAGGCCATGGGTGGTGCTTCGGAACAGGCCACCATGTATAATCATAATCCCCGACCACAAACACGCTGCCATTGAGGTCTCTTTTCCCGGACAGCACAATATTTTCGACGGAACCTTGGGAGTTTGAACCTTCCCAATCCTCGAGCGGAGAAAAGCACATTCGGCGGCTGTTGTCATGTTGGTTTTTTGATTCTCTGTTCAATTCTTGAACGTGGCCCAGACTGGTGGCTGAGCTGGCCGTAACGGCTCTTGTCGTGCCGCTTTGTGGGGGACTTTGTGGGAGCTATGGAAGTTCAGAAGCTCTGTGACTGAAAGAGCCACAACTAATCACAAGCATATTACGCCTCGCTCGGCAACTCGTGACATCAATTGGGCGCTACCCAGTCAGTGGTGACGTCCGAATTGAGGTTTTACACTCTTTTGGTTGAGACGTTCACATTCTACATCTACAAGTGCCCTCCAGCAGGTTCTTTTTCTGTTTCTAGGTGAAAAAGGCATCGTTTTCAGGGTGGTCACCTGGTGGAGGATTGGAGGCGCAGTGCACCACGGGCTGGGGTGGGGGACGGCCGAAGGCCGTGGACACACGCACCGGGTCTGCGTGGCCTCGGATTTTTGTTTTTTCGCTGTAGTCCTTTCTCTTCGAGGCAAAAGGACACCGCAAGGAAACCACGTGTGTTCGAGGCATGGCGATGGGGAAACTCATCAACAAGAAGTGTATCATGGTGCCTCATTTGCGATTGGCGAGGAGCGAGTCTTGAATGTACCAGAAGCAGTTTGGAGTCCCACGCCCGAAATTCGGGTCGAAAAAACATGGAGGTCTGTGACTCATCTTGCGGATGGGCCAATGTCTCGGGAGAAAGCAGTTTGCTGCAGCCCTTTCAATCTGAGACTTACTACGCCTATGTGCGTTTCACCCAAGCGAATAGGTCTCTTGCAGCGTCTTTGGCATCGACTAGAAAACACATATTATATATATATATAGTTTCGTTCTCCATTCGTTTGCTTCCAAGAGGGGAAGTTGGGATGTGACCGTATTAAATCTTAGAATCTGCATTTTCCTAGTACGTTACCGTATTTCGATGTATTTCCTAGAGTGTCGTGGTCATGTCAAGTCCAAGCTGGTCTTGACGGGTGACGCCATTTGGAGCTCGATCGTTTGGACCGTTGGGTGTCAATCAAACTCCCAGGGGGGGACAGTACTGTACTCATCCTTCAACAAGAAAGTTCCAACAGTGCCAAAATGAGATCATGGCTTTATCACATTCCGACTGTCACTGTCAGTAAAGCACAGAACTGTCGTCTTGCTCGCGGCACAGAAGCTGTCATCCTTCACCGGTGATTAGGGCCATGATGGGACCAACCAAAAGGGATCCTAAAGTAAGGCCCTTGTTACTACTAGCTTCACGTTACTAGTAGTAACGCCCTTGTTGCTACTAGCTTCTTGCTACGAGTAGCGATGCCCTTGTTACTAGTAGGAACGATCTTTCATGCCAATGGCCCCAGCGGCCCTAGGTGGGGAACTGTGATGGCTTCGTTGGAAACCGCATGGCCCGGGCCCCGACCCGTGGCGCTTGGGTTCCGAACTCTCGCGGTGCTTCCGGGGGTGGTCCGCTGAGTGTCATTCGTTGGGACGATGAAATGGCACTTGTTCCTAGTAGCTTCTTGTTACTACTAGTAAGGCACCTGTTACTACTAGCGAGGCACTTGTTACTACTAGTGAGCCCCAGAATTTCATCAAGAGCAAGTCATTGAATGACCTGAACATGGCTCCGACGAGGTGGGAGAGTCAGTTTGTCAGTTTGTATGGATCGTTTTGTTCGAGATGCGCATGCTTCGATTTGTTCGCACTTTCCAAGAGCATAGCTCTAACCAGTGTCTGATTAAACTAAGAACTGGTAGCTCAAAAAGGAACCACTTTTTTGATACCGATGCTAGCAAGCTTCCTAATTGCTGATAGTGAGCTCTTCGAGATTAGCAGAGGATGAGGAGGAAGTCCAAAGCAGAGTATATTTCCGCAGTTTTTGGACTGTATTCAGATTTTCCCTGTGACCCCACCCGCTTCTTCGCCTCATGCTTTTCATGCACCTTCATAGCGCCTCCAAGCTCGCATCGACCGGGGAATCTTGAAGATCTTTTGCTCCGCACGTTTTGTTGGACGTTTTGAAGCCAGTGCATAGTCGGTATATAATTGAATAGCATGTAGATAGGTTCAAGGCAAACCAGATCCGAACCTTAATGGGTTGAAGAAGTGATGTGCATACAGCAGTATAGATTGACTAGACACATGCGGTGTTCTCATTTCATTCGTGCAGACAGAGCCGACTACATCAGTCCCCCCTGGCACCCAGATCGCGCCCTACGCCGGTGAAGCCAAGTCGTGATCTTGGTGGGATGGCACGGGGTGGTGAAGTTCTTGTCTCCCTAATATGGAGTTCTGCAATTGGAGTTCTTGGACTTCGAGGCCCGAAGCTACTAGTAGCGTCCGATCGCTCCTAGTAGCGATGCCCTAGGATGCTCCAGTAGTACGGCCAGGAGCCCCTAGTCCCAAAAATCTTTGCTCCCTTCTCCTAGTCCCAGCCGAGTAAGAAATGGGCGCCGCGCATGTGGACCAACACCTACCTCCCTTGCACAAAACACGCATTCTTGTGTCAAGCCTAAGAGTTGAAGAAGAACCTAGTGATGGCTACTGGACTGAGTGGTCCACTAGATGAAATACTTCCAGGGTTTCCGGCCAGAATTGCCGGTTTGCACCAAGATTTTTCGAACGTTACGTGGGACGCCTTGCCAAATGGTTCTATCGGTGGAAAGGCCGATGTTCTGGGCAAACGTGTTCTGGGTGGAGAGACTGGTGTTTGGTCCGTGTTTCGTATCAAAATCTATTCTGGACGCTTTTGACATTCACGTTTCTAGTTGGCAGTAAAATAGCTCCCTCATTCAATCGCGACATGCTGGCTTCGAATCTGAATCCGACATGATTTCAACTGCTAAGAAAGGACCAAATAGACCTACAAGGGTGTGTTTAACTTTAGCTGAAGGGCTGAAGGGGTCATACAGCGACACTGCAACATCTTTGGAGGTCCCTGTACATGCACAGTGGTTCCTCCAGCTTGGGTTATCCCACCATTGGTTCACCAGTTGTGCTCAGCCACCCCTCAGCCACCCCTCAGCCACCCCTCAGCCACCCCAGGATAGACGCGTCTCGACGTCCAAACCGCGCCCAGGATGGTTTGGGAGGAAGGCGCGACCGTGGAACAGATCGACAAGGCGGCCACGACGTTCGGCCGCTGAACCGCAGCTGATCGAATCGGATCGAGGCGTTATCGCCAAAACACCCACAGCCCGGTGTTCCGAAGTGATCGGGCCCACTCTTCTTGATCTATCAAACATCATCACACCATTCAGAACCTGGGTACACCACGCAAGGGATGGTTGGGAGACATACCCGTCATAGTGCAGGGTGGTTAGCACTTGTTATTCCTTGGGCTCCTGGCAAGACGTAGCAAGACGAAGACACCCAATTTTTTTGGTCATGACAACCTTTTCATAGCAGAGAGTATAAGTAGTAGCGGCCTTCGTAGGCTGGAGGCTGATCGGGAGCACTATCTTCCGATCTCTCTTCCTAAAGGATTCCCGGTTTGTGCGCACATTCTTTTTGTGTTGAGCAGTCTCAATGTATAATGTGAGGCCAACGTGGGAAACCAGCTGAAGTACTTCTTGGTTGTTTTTCTCTACGATGGATTTAATGAATTTGTTCCACCTCGCTTCGCCGGCTTGGCACCTCCGTGGGGTGTTTTGCCCCCCAGCTCAGGTGAAAGACAAAAAGGGGAAGCGGGAAGCAAGTTATATATATCAAAAAGTGGAGCTGAAGACTGGGTCTCATAGCCTGGCTAAAGTGGAGATAATGTCCACCTCTGATTAATAAATAGCCCCCCCCTCATGAGTGACCTCAAATAGTCTTAACCAGTGTTTTAGTATTAGTATCGGCCTTACTATAGAAGAAAAGAATCTATAGAAGAAAGAATCTACAGAAAGGAATCCATGTTAGAAGAAAGGAAGCCATCACCTGAGCAAGAATCCTCAGCAGGACTCATTGAGGATCAAAGGACCCATTGACAATTAGTATTCACGAAAGGTAGCTTGAGCTACCTGAGTTCTCCTTGCTTTAGCAAAAATGTATTACAATCAGGAGTTGGGATTGTGCATTGAATTTGGTCCTGTAAGAGTTGATTCTGTTCGTCGGGGGGGGGGCCCCCCCCCCCCCTGGATCAAATCCCCCCTGCGCCGGTTCACGCCGTCGTGGACTTCTACCAGGGTTACTTGTGATTGCCTGCTACCTTTCGTTCACCCCCTCCTCTCTCAAGTGTGGACAACTTTTCTGCCAGCAAGAGTCTTTAGCTTTATTTAGGGTATGGTGGCTTCAAGGGGGGTACCCTTTCCAGACTAATTTTGGTCAGTTTTTGGTGGGTTTGGAACAATGAGGTTCTACAGTTTTGATCAGCAGATTTTGGAGTTTGGTGAGTCCAAGTGATAAAATTATGACGGAAGGATGCCAGAACGAATCCAAAGAAGGAACCAATTATATAAGAATTGACAGGCACAAACTCAACTAAAGCTAAAGGACAGGAGTCTTTTTCAAGACTTTGGTGTAAAGGCTATATTGATTTGGGATATCTAGGTCCAGAAATACAAATAGTGAGCTTAATTCAGGGGTATTTGACCAATTGGCTTTAGGGGTTTGCTCAGCTTTATTCAGAGTCATTTGATTAATCATAGGTCGACATTTTTGTCACAAAACAAACCACATGAATCCACATGACGCGTGCAGAGACGCTTGTGTATTGTGCCATTTGTCTTGCATTATCTCCCCACCCCAGAACTGTCCAAGCACATCATCACTGGTCACTATACTGGGCATCGCTACTAGTAACAAGTGTATCGCCAATTACTAGTAACAAGAGCATTGCTACTAGTAGCAAGAAACTACTAGTAACAAGGGCTCCGAAAAGCACTGTGAGACCCTGGCTGTGGGCGGGGGCACGGGGGCACTGCCTGAATGGAGGCCTCCATGTGTTGCACTGAGGAATGGCCATGGGCCCCATGGCTTTGGGTGACCTGGTGGGCCAGGAGCTCTTCTGGAAGCAGCGCAAGGCGTGCTTTCTCCTTTGGCGCGCCGGGGAAGAGTTGGGGCTGATGCCTAGTGGGAAATCGATGTTTTGGGAAAAAGAAGACAGGCTGTCAGGGGGTTGTTGCAAGATTGTTCCACTGTCACCGTTCTTTGAGTCTTTGAGATGGTGATGGTGAGAACCCTCATTGAGCACGAGGAGCAACATAGATGCAAGCAGGCACATTTTATAGTCACCAGACTGAGCACATCCATGTACTGGAGAAGTGCCACCGATACAGTCGCAGGTAACCTCAGGTAGACAATGAGGCAACGACTCCGCATAAAGTGAGTGCAGTTGCAAGGTTCTAAATAAGCAGAGTTGTTTTGTTTTTGTTGTTGTTTAACACCTGGCGGCAGAAAAGTTTGACAGAGGACGGGGACCCTCATTCAAGGCTTGGGCATGGACACTACATCATGTCATGTGATTGCTTTCGGCATCACTGGCAAAACACATTGCCAAACCTTCCAGCAATGCAATAAGTTAGATCTTTAAATGAGCTCGGCCTGAATCCCCTCAGTGACACATGTTTTGAAGCGCCACCCAACCCGCAAAGATGGCCCCGTCCTGGCAGGCAAGGGTCAAATGAGCTGTAAAATACTAAAAGTATCCAAAAGTCAGGCTTTTTCGGATCCCTCTTGTTTCGTTTGACTCTTGCTTCCCACGCAGCATCCTGTGCATCTTGACGCAAACAAGCAGGCTGCAGGTGACATGAACAAGCAGACAAAGACCTACTTCGGTGTGGTGCTTGGTCCAACGGTCGACCGTTGACGTGGAGATGTGTGCGAGTGCCGTGGCGAGGGTGTCCTCGGGTGACACACGAGGGACGCCGTGGCGACACGTGGTGTCGACTCGTTGGCGACAGTGCCAATCAGTGGCTCTTTTGCTACCTACTAGTAACTAGCCATCTCTTACCCATCCACCCCAAAAATCACCCCTGGGATGACGTTGCTTTGGGTGTGAGGCCCCTATGAGCTCACCGACTGGCTGTGCGAGCAGGGACGCTTCGGCATGAAGACCCCAGACCCGAAAATCAAGGCGCCGCCCTGCGAGACTCGGTTGGTGACAGATGTTGGAAATGCTTGCAATCTCTTTTTGGGCCTGTGAAGATGGCAACTCATCTCAGTGAAGCACCGTGTGTTTATTCTCTTAGATCGACACGTCAGTCACGACAAATGGACTTGACCGATAGGATGGTTGTCCGGATCACATCCCTTTCACCTGAAAACTGTTAGGAAGACTTCATTAAATAGAGCAGAGTACAGATGTGGGGTCACTATAGGCAATTAGATACATCGTAATACTGATACTGATCATCAGTTGACAGGGGCAATGACCCCTGTTGCAACGCCACCCGAACGGACGAAACAGTGCAGGCAGATGGCCGTGGTGTTTTCATCCACAAGGGCCGCAGCAAGGAGCTGAAGAGATGAGATGGCAACCCGTGGGTAACCATTTGACGGTTCAGAGGAGCAGCAAAGCGAATTAGAATATGATGATTTTGTGTTTTATCCCTTTGCTCTTCCTTTAACTATCTTTACATCAGAATTGATTGCAGCCAGGGTCGACATCAAACCGGCGACTGTGAAATGTGGCCTATAGGCCGAAAGGTGTCAGGGATGAGATGGGAAGAGCAAAACGAGCACGGTTTCAGGCTCTTTTCACTGTTTTGGAGACGAGGAAATGAGCAAAAGCAGCCAGTGATGAAATGTTGGCAACTGGTCCAGTTGCCGTCTCTACTGTTTCTTTTCCATTTGCAGCATGGTCGGTCAAACACGCATTGTTGTTGATTTTCGTTTTCAGTGCTTTTGACCTTCCATGAATTGGGACATGCGCGCCTCTTTTTGGAAGTTGTGAACCACACTGCAGGAGGTGGACCCTGAGGTCGTGGCGAAGATGGAAGAGGCGAGGTGGCCGCCGTTGGGATACGCAACGACCCGGCGAGGTTCGCGGCCGTTCCGAGCAGGTGCGGAAAGCCAAGGGCGTCGTTCCCCGGGCGATCAGCGATGAGGAGATCTGTGAGAGGCGCGGCGTGTTGCGGCAGGTTGCGGCTGGCAGGATGAGGACGGCTGGCGTGTCGTAGGGGAATGATTCAGATAAATGATAAATCAGAGTTTTCTCCACAGGATTTCTGAGTGAACTATGGAGTATGGTGAGTACGGAGTAATGTCATATATACCCTCAGCCATTTGGCTCTGCCTAAAGAATGTATCACATGGACGTACATGTTTGCTTTGTGGGTTTGATGCAGCAGGCGGCATCGTCCAAATGTGGGAGGCAGCCTTGATGTTTTCTCACACAGAAGATGGGGAGTGTCACTGTCTTAAGGGGTGCCCCATGAATTGTTGGTCTCAGGTCCGATCATTCTTTTCGGTCGCAGACTTGCATCATCCAATTTGAAGAATGATTACATCATCAGGTTGCGACGCGAGAACTTTGGGCCAGGCTCTTCTATCCTCTCATCAATGAGGGCTTCAAGATCCTCGAGGAGGGCTATGTGGCACGCTCCAGCGACATTGACCTCGCGTGCGCCCGACCACGCATGGCCACTGCGGGGGCGAGTTTGCACATGCTGGTCAGAGCTGGAGTGGGGCCAATTGGAGGGCAAGAGGGGAGAACAGGTGGGGCTGCCTGATGAGGTGAGTCTTCTGAAAAAGGACTATGACTATGTTTTATTCCACCACAGAACTGGGCCATAGGGGTCATGTGTTCGTGCAATAAAACGGTCGGTGGAATGGAGAGGTAGGACGGCCGAAGGGAGCGACACCGAGCGACACCGTTGGGAGGTACATCTATGGCTATGGCTTCCCTCCATCCAAGGGAGGTCCCATGTTCTTCGCCGAGAACTATGTCGCTCGTCGCATTGGGAAAAAAGGGGGCGATGCAGAGAAAGGTCACACGGAAGGAGCCCAGGTTATGGAACTAGCTTGGAGTGTTAGCTTCGAGTTTTGGGAGTGTCAGCTTGGAGTTTCTCCTTTTGTGTTTCGCATCTGGCTTTTAGAAAGGACCGCCACCGCCATCAACGGCAGTGCTTCATCTCCATTTTGGTGTCTCGGTGGTCAATCGGCTTCAGGTCGGCTTTCAGAAGATCTTGGAGCGCCTGAAGGCGCACCTGAGAGATGGATGGGACATCAGATTGAGGAGGATTTTGGGACATCCTGAGATGGGATGACACTGGTTGCGGATTCATTTATTGGGAAGAATGGCATGCCCTAGGCCTTAGGATCTTGGCTGATATTGGTGCTTTTTGTACTTTTTTTGTTTTCTTTGTCTCTTGTGATCTTTTGTTTAGTTTCGTGATTTTTGAATTATTTATTGGATTTGGCTACTACGAGGCACTCAAGCAAAGCAAACCCCATACTAAAGCACAAGCACAAAAGCTCTGGTAAGGCCCTGGAAGTAGGTCGTGGCTAAGCTAGATGGTAGTCTAGATCCCTACCAAGCTAGATGGTAAAGTCGACCTCTGGTACACTAGATCGTGAACTAGATCTCTGGTCTCTTTACCATTTTGATCTTTACATCTCTGTTGACGTAGGTCTCTGGTGAAGTAGATCTCTGCCAAACCTGCCCTGGTAAAGTCCATTTTTGGTGAGGTAGGTCGCTGCTGCATGGTAGGTCGTAGACCTCTGAAAAACTAGATGATCCAGCTGGTTGGTGCACTAGATCTCCAGCTGGATCGTTGGTAAACGACATGACTCATGACCATCCAGCCATGCCTCATTAAAGAGATCTCTGGCGAGCTGGATCTCTGAACAACTAGATCTCTGGTGAGGTAGATGGTAGATGTCTATGCATTTATATATGGCAAAGTATATCTGTCCGGTAAACTAAATTCTTTCACTGGGGCTCTGGTTTTCTTTTGGTGAAGTAGAGCTCTACTAGACTAGATCAAATGGTAAGTTTGATCGTAAATAATTAACTCCGGTAAAATGGGCCCCTTCTCGGTAGACGACCCTTGTCACTTAGATTGAAAACAACTAGAACTGCGTTAAACTCGACCTCTGGTAGCCTGGGTGTTTAAGCTGGATCTCTGGTAAACTAACACACTAAATGGTAAGCTGGATCTCTATGATCTCCCATATGACCCACGCAACAAAAGGGTTGGCCTTTGACCAGTTTCAGGTGTTTCCTTTCGGTACCTAAATCAACACCTGAAACAGGTGGTTTTGACCTTGATTTCGGTACCGAAACGCACGGAGTCAGCTTTTGGGTGATACATTCGCTATTAGGATGTTCAAATCTCTATCATGTTCTTTCGGAAAAGATCCGCAGGAACTGGGCAGTGTTTTGGTGGTTCTAGGTGCCATCTCATTGGTCTCCCACCCATCCACCCGTCTTTTCAGCTGGCTCGTGAGGTCTTTGATGCTCAGGCCAAGGAGCGCTACACCAAGAACAAAGCCTACTTGTGGCTTGGCGAGTATGGGAGGAAGCGAAGCAAACCCAGGAGGTTCCCTCCACTCAAGAGGGGCAGTTGTCTTTGCAAAACGACCGAACAACACATTTTCAACGACATCACAACGACATCACCTTGGCTCATCAACGACAGATTTGGGGCAGCGACTGAACGTGTTGCGTTGGGTCCAAAGTGAGGAACGGTCCGTGTTTTGCAGTGCGGAGGTTTGCCCGGCCCAAGAGGTTCTTCCAGAGATGTACCAAACCAAATCCACCGAGCGAACCAGATGGAGTCAATGAAACCCACTGGAATTCTGTTCAAACTAGCCACCAACAGGGAGTGTGGGTTTTCAAGGATTGCTCCACTTGCCCTTTGTTGCGCTTCCAATCGGTGCGTATACCACATCCGATTCGACCTCCTCTCAGCGGGAAGCCGATTCGATCTCCAAGGCCCATCGATTACTTTGAGCCCTCGAAGCTTCTGGAGGCGACCGTCCAACCGATCGGTCCAGACACGATCGGTCCATCGTGCTCGCTGAAACGAAGGGAGTGAAGGTCTGAGTTTGGAGGGTTGGAATGTGGGGCCGGGGGGACAAGTTCCACCAAGAAAACAGGTCTTCTTTGGGAGATTCGAGTGTTAAGCTGCTGATGTTCGTTGATGACCTCTGACATATGTTGTCTCACACGAGGCGACCAATCGACCAGCGAAATCGGGGGGAGGGACAGAGACCGTTTCGCCGGGCACGCGAAGGGGCCGGTGGTAAGGGCAAGATGACGATCCCCCACTTCAGCAACGGAAATTGGTTGGTGTTGGCGTTCAACAACCATATTTCCCTTTATCGTCATAGTGAAGACCCTGGCATCCTCGAGACAGTCTCAACAATTCTCGATTCTTGATGCTCAAAGATGCTCAAAGTAAATCTCGTAGGAGTACGTCCCAACAGGAAGGTACCTATCTCTTTCTGCCACGGTACCGACCAAGGACTTCCAAGGATTTCCAAGGCACCAGGTTTTGCCGCAGAGGCTCGAGAGATGTCGAAAGCAGAGTTTCGAAAGCCGACGCCAGGTAGACACCTGTACATGTAGGTCCGTTTCCGGACCCCTGCTTGAGAGCCAGAGGATGAACGGAAACAGGTCCAAAGAAGGTATCGTAACATCGTATGATGAAACAGATTGTTTGAAGTGCGGTTAGGTGGAAAACCACAGAAAGCCGTCTTTTTCCTTGACCTTCAGGGCGTCCCTTTCTGTTTTTCGGTTTGACCACGGTTCCAAGCTGGTTCCTCTGAAACCGATGTCCGGAGCTGTGAGCCGCACGATTTCGCGCAATTTCTTCCTGGGGGTCAAAGTAGCGGTCTTGACCTGACAGATCCCTTTCATTCCCTTTCTATTCTAGGAATCCCTTTCGGAATTTCTCATCACAGACCTCAACAAAGTCCCAGAGCACACGTCACGAAGCTCGTTGCAAGAGAGGGGCAATTGACACGCAAGCACCCATTCATTCCCACGCAAGTAATAAGCTCGAAGTGCATCCTGTGCGCAAAGTTGCAGCAATCTCAAACTCTGAGAGGCCCTTCGCAGGAGAGGGAATCGGCTAAATCGGAGAGCAGCACCAATGTCAGGCTGAAAGATCTCTGAGCTTCGCCGTGTCTGAGCGTTGGAGCTGCAGGCGGTTTGAGTCCGAATGTCAACATATGCTCGCGGGGTGTGGTCAACAGCTTGTGCAACGCACCTGTCAGGCTTGCGCCAAGCAGCAGGGTAAGAAGGCCAGGTGCAGCCTGCTGGGCACTTGGGCGGTAAACTCGAAGGGCGTGAGTGTCGCGCGATTCGATGGGAACAGCATTTCATTGGGGCTGAACCATCTGAATCTTTATTGTGGGCTTGAATTCAACTTCAATGCGGCTTGGGCACCGCCCGTTTGAGACACCCCCCTAGTTAACACCCTCTAGTTAAGACCCTCATGGAGCCTGATTGAACACTTGATTAAAGCAGTTTGCCTTCACTGTGGTGAAGTGAAATTGCTGGCCACGGCAAAGCCTCCCAAATGCCGTGTAAGGGTTTGTGGGTCGACTTTACACCCATTCGACAACGGCTTGATGGTGCCCGAGGTTACATCCCCCAGTCTTGACATATGCGGTTTTGAGTCGACCATTGTTCCCAACAAACCAGTTGAGGATGTCTTTGCGTGTCGTCAAAGAACACCACATATGTTGCCATTGTTTTCATGAACCAACTGCATTTATATAAATATATACTGTATATGTTTTTGCAATATTCAGTTTTGCGAAGTATACTCTTTGAAACCAACATGGCCCCCATCTGGTTGAGAAAATCCTTTAAAAAACCCTTCTGACAAGGGGGGAAAGAGTTAAACGTTAAACACACATCAAACAAAGAAACCAGGGCTGCTTTAGAGGGGGCTTTACTCATTACTCTCAGCTCTTTGACCGACCGTGACTCGCAGGTCTTCCCTGGGCAGACGCTCATCGATGTGGTTCTCAAGGATTTCAGGAAGAGTGTGCCGGCAGCAGACACGGCTTGGCGGCAGGTCTCGTCATGCGAACGGATGCACAGCACGGTAGAACGAACGGCCCGCATGTGAGTTTGATCGGTGACGACAACAATCCCACAAAAGAAGAGTCTTGGATCTAGCTGAATCTAATTTACAGGTTGTGGGCACCAACAGTTCTACTTAGCTATGACTTGGGTTTTGGCCAAGTCTTTCTTTGGCTGAACAGGGTTGGGTAAGCTGGGGGTGGAGGGAGAATCTTGGTTAAAAGGTTTGCCTAGATTTTTGTCGGTTTCAACTTAAGGGTCAGGGTCCAGGGTATTTTGGGTACGTGACGGAACCACCCAAAGAGTGAAAAGCGAGTCCCGCTGCTTGATCAACGACTGCCACTGAGCTCGTCCCACCCATGAGATTTGGGTGCCCATACGGATGACCAGTGCATAGCGCCAAATGCTGTGGAGCGAAGACAGTCCTCTGTTCCTCATTTGAGCATGTCGCTGAGTCTGGGAAATCCACTGAAAGGACAAATCCAACAGACAGAAGAAGCCACCGATCCATAGCATTCCGAAAGATCCAAAACCAACATGAAGCATCTACCTGTTTTGCAAATCAAACACTCCATATCTCCATGAGTCATGCCCACACAAGCCCAAGTTTCATCCCACCCACCACCCCTGTCCCAGAGATGCACGACCGCCACAGGTAATGATGCGCCAGGGCCCTTCTCCAAGCTCTAAAATAGAGGCTCACTTTGCATCTAAGGTGGGTCAGGAGGTGTCTCATTGGGATGTACTTGGTTTGGGTTCAGGCGTTTGGGGGAAGTATATAATCATTAGGGCCAAGATTTGTTGCTTTCCATTGTTTCCACTCCAGAGCAGATCGTTCAAACCAGTTTCCATTTATGCTTTGGGTCCATGTCTGGCATGGTCAAAATCTGGCTTTAGTGCATTCTCCTCTCCTGAAAGGGGTGATAATATATATATATAATGTACGTATTAAATGTTGTCAATTGGGACATTCTCATGTCATTCAGGATCTCTCTTTTCATCAGCGCGCAGGCAGGATTGGGCAGCAGGAACCGCGGCGACTGCCGGAGTACCCAGGACACGTCGGACACGGTGAGATCTGGCTGGTTGGTCTCACAAAGACGGTTCGAGACATTCGAGCAAAGGGCAGGTTTCTTCTTGCGCTCGAGACATTCTTGCAAGCAATCGAAGCAAAGGAAAAGGCGTCCTGGTGAGCCTTCCAACGTACCTTCATACTTCAAATCCGTA